CCATTTTAAGTGATTTTGACCTAGTTAATAGTTTGAATATGCAAGTGATACACTAATGTAACTGAAGTGGTTTAAGTGAAGTATTTTTACGCCCTTAATGTCCTTTTGAAACGTTGTTCATAAACCGTTAGTCAGCCCCGAACTCCTCCACCCACAGGTTTCTGTAGGCGTCGTAGGCCACGTGTCTTTAGCTTGAGGAAGTCCCCTACACTAGTTTGGGAGATGGATGAAGGCCAGTAAGCACGGGTACCTCCGTGAATCCCGGGCGTTAGGAAATCACCGACCTCCTAGGTTCCAGAGCCTAGTCAACTCACCTGATGCGTTCACTGCCCACGTGGTGGCCTAAGAACCTAAGAATATCAGGCCAAAGCCAACAACTGCCAGCCCCCATCATTATTGGACGAGTCCATGATGCGGTAGGGCTACTTGGTGGTTGTGTTATTCCTCCGAGGACACCTGTAGGCGTCCGCCGGAGTTGTCGGAGTGTGGTCCAAGGTACCTCGTGGTGGGAGAAAACTGCCATGGTTGGTGCAGTTTGAGTATTATTGTTTAAGTATTATTGCTTGAGTATTATGTCTGGTACTGTTGAGTATCATGTCTGGTGCTGTTTGAACAGTCACATGTGGTAACTGGCGTCATTGCCACGGGTATTAATGGTGTTTTAAGGTGGTGAGAGAGAGTTTATGTGTGTCATTGTATATGTACACCCAGTCGTGGTGTAAGTGGAAATTGGGCCTAAGTGCCACAGTGCAAAATAAGTTAAACCAGGGAGTTGACCCTACAGTTGAGTTCCTATAATGGTTCAAGAAATCTAATGTCATTTTAATAACCATTTTTTATTTTCAATAAACCATTTTATCCTTTTAATAAACCATTTTATGCTTTTAATAAACCAATGTATTTGTATGTTGGGACTATTATTCACCTACAGTTGTCACCGTTATTCCTTCCTATTGCTTGATACCATAATTACATGTACCCATGAGTCTTAAACCTCGAGCCACGCTACCACAGGTCAGAGGTTGAAGTAAATTGAAATGAAGTAACAATAAAAAAAACCTACTAGAGAAAATTAAAGATTTAAAATAAAAATAAAGGTTGAAGGTTCGCACGCTTATATCAGCAAAGTTCGTTGTCAAAACACTGTATCTCTCCTCTCTCCCTTTCTCTCTCTCTATCCCTCTCTTTCTCTCTCTCTTCTAGTTTATCTTACTGTGTCGGTAACATATCCTACTGTGGCGGTAACATTTATCATAAACAAGTACGTTGATTTCCGGGTCATTTTCATTAAACCAGTCCTGGTGTATTTTTTTTCTATCAGGCAGAGGGTCTCTGCAGGTTTTTGTTATGACTGTCGACAATACCCCATTCGGCATTGGGATTTGGGTTGTTTGTTGATGGGATGTTCATCAGCCTATGTTCAAGGTGCTCCCTGAAAGCATGTGCTACCGCTGGATCCTTTAGACTCTTAGTGTTAAAACCTCTTCTGGAGGCTTGTTTCCTTCTCCTTTTTGTGGTGACGTGAAGTGAGAGTTTAGCACTGATGAGCCGATGATTAGTGCCACAGTGGTCTGAGCAAAGAATGGCTCAGGTGATCAGGGCATCTTGGCAATCTCTTTCTCTGACAATGATGTAGTCAATGAGATGCCAGTGTTTGGATCACAGGTGTTTCCACGAACCCTTGAACTTGTCGGCCTGCCTAAACAAGGTATTGGTGAAAGTGAGGTTGTGTGCAGCACACTTGCTGAGGAGGAGTAGGCCAGTGAGATTACACTTGCCTAGTCAATTTCTCTCTATGATTCCCTGCCATATGTCAGCATCTCTGCCAACTCTAGCATTGAAGTCACCTAGGACCACGACCTTATCTTCTCTGGGGATAAAGGTTAGGATTCTGTCAAGGTTGGCATAAAAGGCTTCCTTGGTGTCATCCTCTGCATCTAGTGTTGGGGAGTATGTATTGATGAAGAAGGCATGACTAGAGTGATTCAGTGAGACTCTGAGCATCATGAGGCGTTCGTTGATCCCAACAGGCATTTCAGTTGCATATGTAGGATGCATTGGAGGATGACAAAGCCAATTCCATAAATGCAGTTTCTCTCCGCAGCAGGCTTACCCTCCAGAAGAAGATATAGCCGGTCCCCCGTTCTGTGAATCGACCCTTGTCTGGGAGCCAGGACTCACTAATGGCTGCTATGTCGATGTTATATCTATCCAGCTCTTTTGCTACAAGGGCGGTTCTTGTTTTAGGACGCTCATTTGTAACAGCATCCAGAAGGGTCCTGACATTCCAAGCAGTGACCATAAGAGGTTGTATAATTTGTTTTTGCTTTGATATGTGATTATGGTTGTATTTTCGAGTGCATAAGGATGACCTTACTAGGTGCGCTTGCCCAATCAGGCTGCTTCTTAGCCAGGCTATGTTTAGGGCACCTTTTATAGCCCTCTCCTCATGTGTGGTGAGCAGAGTGGCTCCTTGAAAGGGCTGGTCATTCGCACAGAAAGGACCAGATTGCACTGCTGTCTAGATCCCAGTGCATAAGCGACCATCTTATCTATGCTGCCCATGTGCAGAGTTGTGACTAAAGACTCCTGGGAGTCATCTCTCCCTGTTCCCATCGCCACTCGTCCGTTGTCATAGGGCTTTTGGGGGTGTAGGGGTTTTGATGATGATGAAAATTATGATGTGCTGATGGCTGCACATAAGTTGATTTGTGTGGTGAGGCAGGAACGCAGGTTGCAACCACACATCTTGGCTCTCTCTTTTCCTGATCCAGCGGTGCAAGTGTTGTGACGACTGGGGAGAGGGAGAGTTGCAATGGACTGCCGATAGCCAAAATAATTAACCAAAACATAAGAAATCCCAAAGCACAAAGAAAACCACTGACGACTGGAAAATGCTTACCTTCCGTGCGTAGAGAGTGCTGAGCAAGTGAAGCACAACCGACAATCATTCACTCATTACACCTAACCCGGAACCTTGAAGCTTCAGTGTTCAGGAATTCGAAACATCAGAATACCTCCCCGAATTATCCCAATTAATGAATAGAAAACTGGCCACTTATAACATAGATACAGTCCTGCTGCTGACCAACTGAATGTGATAGTCTTCTTTCCAGTATCGCCACTGGAAAGAATGTTCAGAAAGTTCATCAGTGATTGCGGAAAATCAATATACAGTACATACTTTTCATCAAGTTTATCGGGTTGTGGTGTCCAAGGCTTCTTCCCTATATGTACTCTTGATCGCGCCTCTTATACTCGTATGTAGATTTGAATGTCTTATCACTTGTTTAATATTATCTGTGGACTTTGCACTTTTTATCTTGTCTTACAGTTGTATTTTCTCAGTCACAACTGCGTGCATAGATAAGTTGTCGGGGTAGACCACATGTTTTCCATTCTTACCATAGACAATATGAAGCGCATGCTTAAATTCTACCTCCAGTTTTCACCGTAGATGTTTCTTGGTTTGAGGTTTCACTTGATCACTTGTATAGCGAAATGTGGCTAATAACTATGTCAATTTATCTGTCAAATCAGTCATTTTTATAGCCTTAGGATGTACAAAGAGAGTTTTCCTGATATGCTCAAACAATAGCTGATGAGCATGCTTTTCGGCTTCCGGGTCAGGTATAGTTGTGGATGTTACTGGCACTTCTCTCGTGTAGTTCCTATCGCATGATTTGTGGTACTGTGCCTCCGCAGCCACCAGCTCTCGTGATGTAATTGCCTGTATTCTTTCATTCAGTTTAGCCAAGGCTGCTTAACGTATCCTCTCATCCGAGCGTAATTCTCGGGACTGACTCAGTGGCTGTTTGACTTTCCTCTAAAACACCTCTGAGATACAAGTACAAAGAAAGAAGTAACAGAGAGAGAGAGAGAGAGAAAGCAGGTTAGATGCAAGCCGGTACCTTTTACTAAATCGCTTGTTGGGTCATCGAGTAAACTACTTCATATTATACTTCTACCAGAATGTCTTCGGACAATCAAATATAACCGCAGTACTACAGCACATACCTTAGTACACACACCCAACACAAAAATTACTGGACTTTCACCTTTACCCTTCTTAAAAATTGCCGAATATTTTGTTTCCATTCATGAGGTACAGCACCAGCTTTCAGAGAAGTTTTATACAATAAAGTGAGTCGACAGCTGACCACATTCACCAGCTCTACCGATATTTTTGGGTGGTAGCCTTCCGGACCTTTGTAACATTTAAACCTTTTCTTTTTCCTGCTACTAACTCTTTTGACAGTGATAAACTAAATATTTTTTGCTACGCTGGTGGCATGTCTGAAACATGCTCAATGGCCTCTCCAGACAAAATGTGGAAAGGCCATTGTCACATCTCTTGATTCCGATTGGTCGTGTCTATGCCATTGCTCTTCTGTAGGGATTAAGTGCTCGATCCCAATTTATGGAAATAAATTCCTTTGTTGCATTAAAATCTCTTATCAATATTTAATTTAGTAGCCTCTTCAACACTGGCATAGGTTCAGGCAGGTTGTATAAATTAGTGGGTCTTTTTTCTAATCATCAAAGAACTATTGGAGTCCTTCTTGAATCATGGTTGTGATATTTCTAATATTTTCTTACAAATGGTTGGAATCATCTCCTTTTCATATTACAGGGAGCTATCAACTCTATACTGTACATGGTTGGGAAAGTTCTTATTGATCGTATGTTTATATGTGGAGGCTTAGCAGAACGTAATATATTTGTAGATAAGGGTCAACAAAATGTACGTTTTATACAGTAGTTTAAGAGTCTGCACTGTAATTTTTCTAATTTATTGGTTTGCAGAATTTAATTTATCAAGAACAATTGAGGGATCCTACACAGGCCACTGGCCCTTTCCCGGCATGGCCACCTCTAGTTGGGTGACTACTTAGCAAAGTTAAAGTCGGTAAAGAGCAAATTAATTGTCACATTTCACTGTAAATATAATCTCTAAGATCAACTTCCATATCAAAGGATAATGAGAGGACATACAATAATTAATTTATATGGATATATAATTATTACTTTGGTGTAATAATAGTTCTGACAAATATATTTACACAAGTATCTACAAATATACAGCTTCTAGTCAGAATATAAAATGCCTCGTCTGCATTTATGTTACATAAAATATCTATGGACTTTATAATGTTGTAATGCTGTAATCATCTACAGCAACACTTCCTTGCAAGCCAAAACACACACTCATCCTTCTATTAGTAATACATGCGAAAAAATCATACACTAAACTGAGAACATTAGTATAGGTAAAAATCACATACCTTAAAGAGAAGACAAAGGTACTGGAGGAAGAGTTGCACCGTGACTGTCTGAAAGAACATACTCGTACAGGGAAGTCTTTTACAGTCAAATATACAATACTGTACTGAACCATACTTGAGCAGTACTATAATGGAGTAAAAGTCCATTGTAGTATTACAAAGTCTGCCTAACATGAGCTAATGTAGGTAATTTTGTAAAAAAAAAAGAAAAAAAAACTAGGAATTGCAGTATCAACAAGGAGCTTGAATTACAGCATCTAAATCGTTTCCCCTTCAATCATTTCGTCTAAATATATTAATTAAAAGTTTTAAGTACATGTCCACATTCAAAATACTAAACCATAATCACTAAGGTGTTTTGCAAAAAAACTAATACAAAAGTTAAGAAGAAAGTAATACATAAGTAAAAATACAATATTATTGTTTAGGTCTTTTTGATAAGACCTTCCGTTCTACAACATTTATTGGCACAACTAATATGCCTGGAAAGACTTTCTGATGCATTTTGTACATTGGTGTCCACACGGATAAATAAGGCACATGATGGACTTGCAAGACGTACTTACGTGCAGCAACCACATCACACGTTTGGATGCTACTTAGACCACAATTTTGTTTTTACTTTCATTTACCGTGTATTGAAGTTTACGTATTCTTATCTACATTAACTTGAACAAGGAGTGCATGTAACTGCATATTCTGGACATACTCATCATAAACCACTAAACTAAGGCTCCCTCTAGCCATAATAATAATATGTAAGTATACACATTAACAATATTTACTATTACTTCCACAAAATAGCTTTCAATGTCCAACTGACTGTGTTCCACAAATGCCAGAGGACAGTCTATAAATATGATACAATCTGTCTTGATTATTAGTACAATCTGAAGGAAAAGTGAACTGGATAGAAGCCGAATATCCTCAGCTCATATACTCATCTACAAACATCAAATGCTACACCCATGTAGTTTTGGATATCGATTATTATACACTGACTCTCATTCAGGTACCTAAGTCTTTAATAATTACATTTTAAGGCTAAGACCCCAGTTCATAGTCGCGAGGCCCATGCATCATTTAAGCCTCCTTTTCTATTTAATGTGAGGAGTAAAGTTTTAACTGCCTCCATTCTTAACATAAGACAATGAAGTAATGGTTTCTTGGGTGTATCAAACGCACATTTTCTTTCATACCTAATGTATGATATAGAGTGTTCAGTTTACTCGAAAACAATGATTAATTTCATAGACTGTGCAGTGTTATGGTTTATCTGACCTTTACTTCTCACATTTCAAGTCTGACTCCATTGAGTATAACAACAAATATTTATAAAGTGTTTTGTGAATGTAAACACTAACTGTGCTAAATGATCATGTTTAGGATGATGATGATTGACAATGGTGATGATAATGAATATGAACTCTGAGGAAAATGAAATGATTTTTAATATGAAAATATGAACAAACTGGACTTTCCATAAAATGAAGTGTGATAAAACTGCAACTTTGTCCTAATGAAAGACAAAAAAGCACATCAAAGTCTAAGTATTTAGAAAAGATTTTCAATGGCATTGTATTGCCAAGAATAAAATATCTTACTGAAAGTGAAGTTACGGAAGTAAAAAAAAGTGAAGATGTGTGAAGTAGAACACTATTTGTAATCATCTACACGCACATTACTGGAACTATGCGTGACTCTTAAAACAAGATGTATGAATGCTAAAACAAACACCAAAACATCTAAATCACAACCATTATATGAATCAGATACATAAATTTCGAAAATAAAATATTCACTTTAAATAAACGTCCAGTGATAGTTTAAATGGAAAATAAAGAAGACACAGTGATAAAACACAACTTATATGAGGGTAATGAACGTGTACATTTTTGGCAGTATGAACATCACCAGTTTAGTTTATTAGGTTTACTCAGAACCTTGTGTCAGTACGCTCAAAAGCTTGGTTTTCCAGGCCACTGTCCTTGGGTACTTCAACGCTAGACAGTTCGTTGTTGCCAGCATCTGCGACACGACAGGACTTGCAGCATGGTAGAGCGAGACAGCATGCATCGTAGGGCTGGAGAGAATGCAGAGGCATGGGGAGCCAGTTCCAGGTCTGCAGGAAGCGTGGCAAAAGGCTGGGTTTCTTGTACTGGAGGATGTTGATGATAAAAACAAACACCAAGGTGATCACCAGAGGAACACCAACGATGTATAGAGCTAAACTTCCACCTGGAAAAGAGAAAATGGTTACAAAATTAATCATTCTAATGAGTGACATTTAAAACATACTATATGCATTGCAAATATTTTATGAGCTTTTTGATATCTAATAACTATATGATTTTCTTCAGCTGTTTTAACTATCTATATCAAGGGAAAACAACACTAAACTTTTTCCAAGTGGTCTAACGCTGGGAATACAAAGCTCCTAAAAAATTCATGCCCATTAAAGGTGCAACAGACCATAGATATGCCTCTAAACTCCTTGTGATCAATGATACAGATCATTATAGCGGAATTAAATATAAATTAAATAAACAATTACAATATATAAAAGGAACCGGTAAAAACGCTTATCAACGGTTGGATCTGTCACGTAAATCTAAGGCGAAAGGCTGATCTCCTCATCTATCTTATTCATGGCCATTAATGTTCGGAGATCAACTAATGAATATAATATGACCTTTGATTCCTTAATATTCCAAATAAGTACGCACATCGCATAGAAGACCCATCACACAAATCAAAGCGATACACACAAAGGGATACGGTATACGAATACACTGGACTAATAATATACTGACTCCATATTTCAGTAGGATCTGTGGGAAAGAAGAAATAAATGTTCTAGTGTCTCCCCAAGAAGCATACATGCCAAGATTGCAACATTCAATGAAGCTAAGGAATAATGACGTCAGAGGGAAAGAGAGGTACGTAATTGAAAGAGTGAGAAGCAAAGAAGTGTGACCCTGTAAGAACAGACAGAATGGATGGATAAGGCAAAATAATAATTGGGGCAGGACTTGGTAGAGCGTACGCTGCCTTTTGGTAAACAATATGTAACACTAATCTACCACTCACCTAGAGAGAGGAGGAAGACAAATCCAGGCATGAGGAAAAACATGAAGACGAGATAAAAGATGGCAAACCAACGGTACTTGGCGGTGGTGTCTCCCAGCTTCTTGGCTAGAGGGATGGGGAACCTCATGAACGGTATCGGATAGAAAAACAAGATACCAAAAATGTTGAAGAAGAGATGTACCAAGGCAATCTGTGGGGTAAAGGAAAGTATAAGGAATTGCTAAATGCTATGCTATTGTTTCAATATTTTGATTCGAATACATCACATACCTGAATAAATCATAATATTGTATGTAATCTTGAATTTGATGACAATATAAACGAAAGCGCAGTGTACTTTTTTTAAGAGTTAATAAAAATGTAAGAGATATCTGAAGGTTGACATCTTCCAAATATATAAGAGCTCATTCAAACAGAGTTGGGATCAAATAAATCTAGAGAATACACTAACTTGTATGGCATAGACTAGACCGTCTCCCTCGCCCGCCATGGAGGCCAAGAGTGCAGTAGTGGTCGTACCAATGTTGCTGCCAAGTGTGAGTGGGTATGACCTCTCCACTGTGATCACCCCAATACCTGCACACAAAAGAATGCTCTTAGTTTAAACAGAGCTCTAGCCAATAATACCAAATGTCTTGAACACTAATCATAATTGAACAAATAACGTTAATAAACTGATGCACCACAATTTTTTTTAATGTTGTGCGACTTAATAATGTTTTATCAAAATCAGTTCTATGATATTTCAGTAAAAATACTTTAGAATCATTGGAATTAAAAAAAAGAATTGTGAATGTTAAGGTGATATATTTTCAGTCTTCATAACTCTGGTTAGTGTAATTACATAAATTAAATGCATAAGACTAACCAATGAGAGGCGTCAGTGTGGAGGTGAAAATGGAGGACGACTGGACAACGAAGGTCATGAGGGCACCAACGAAGATGGCAATGTAGCCAGTAAGCCAGGGAACGTAGGGGATGTTGGCGTTGATCGTTTTCTTAATGATCACTGCCATCTTGCCTAGTTAATTCAAAAGGAACAAGTTAAATACTGTATACATACACATACATGCATGCCTATAAAGTATGTGTACAATACATACGCTCGATTGGATAATTTTAATTTTTATAGCTACAACTCAATGGAAATTAAGTATAGTAAAATTTGCTGTTTCATTTAAAATGGCGTTTACCACCATTATATATATATATATATATATATATATATATATATATATATATATATATATATATATATATATATATATATATATATATATATATATATATATATATATATATATATATATATATATATATATATATATATATATATATATATATATATATATATATATATATATATATATATATATATATATATATATATTTCATTAGCCCAATAAACACGCGGATTATATGATTATATGTATATATATATATTTACCCATACTAAAAATCCAACTGATGTTCCAGGAGGTACTGATATCTTTTACATCTCGCTAAAATATTAAAAATTTAATCATGATGTTCAAACCGGAAATTTATAGGATTGATTAAGAAGTGGATATTGTATGATATGTAAAGGCAAGAGAAGATGAAGAACTATACCTTTCATCATGGAGTTGAGGATCTTGACAATTGTGATAAGAGCCGAGCAGAGGATCACGAGGGAGCTGATGAGGAGGATGATACCCACCTGTCCGTCAGTAAGTGACGTTTGGTAGAAGATGAAGTTGCAAGAATTATTTACAGGCACTTTAATACATTCTGTGGTGCTCAGGTCAGTAGTGGCAGAAGCAGTGGTCGTTATCTCCAGGCATGCCTTCTTGCAGTACTTTTTGATCAGTGAAGTTTCATTCACCAATGGCCCTTTGCCAGTACTCCATGCCATCAGCACACTCTTGTCAAGCTGTTGAACAGACCAAATTAAAATGTAATTTAAACCCATTTAATGTACTAAAACATATTTGTTGATATTGTAGATTCTATCATTGTTTGTACTAGCTCTTCATTTATGGGCAAAAATATTCAAAAAATATAAATAAATAAATAATAATAATAATATAATAATAACAACAAACTTTAAGTTTTTCATTAATGGAAATGTTTTGAAAAGATTCTTTTCTTTATAATTTTTGTCACTTATCAGCTTACTAGCCGTTTGGGCGCTCTATCCACTATCAGTATAGGAGGAAACCGGGGACCGGGAAACCTGGAATGTTTGGTAGGGTCACACTTCTCACGTGTGTCCGGGACGAGGCTCGAACACTTGACATATTGGTGAAAGTTACGCGAGTTACGGCTGTACCACCAACACCCTATTTCAGAAGCGATTCCTTGATTGCTTTCTTGGTAATACTAACCTGTACGACCAGTTTGGTGAAGGGATCAGTGATGACCTTGAGCATTTTGACCTCGCCACCACCTTTGACCCACTGAAGGTCAGATATCAGAGCAGTGGTCAGTTTTTCTAACATTCCTGAAAGAAAAAGGAAGAATGTCACTGATACATCTCAAGACTGCAATGCTTTGAAAATTTATCAGTAAATAAACAAATCAACCAAGTATAAGTATCAAACATTTTCTCTATTCCAAAACACATTTAAGATATTTCAAAAACAGATATTGCGTAGTATTTCTTTCCTCCACACCAGCCACTAATAGCACAAAGAATACCCAAATAAAAAAGTGTACGTCTTCATTAATTCCTTCTTATGATACGTAATTAAAAAATATTCTATCAACTTTATTTACTTTAGATTTACTGGCCCCTCAGAGCACATTTACAATGGAACCAATAAAGTTAACCCCCTGAGCCTGGTGCCACTTGGAATATTGTTGTACCATTGATTCGAACCCGAGACTCCTTTGTTGCCAGCTTAGTGCTATAACAAATTCCTCACTATGTCTGCTGATAAAATCCAGCTGATACTCCCGCTTACCCTGTTGATATTCAAGCAGAGTAAGCGTGAGTAAAGATAGGCGACTCGAGGTGCGTCCGGCTGATGTATGCATAAGCCTATTATCATTTCCCATAATTTTCTCTATCTCTCTCTAGTCTTGCCATTGTTATATAACTTCATTTACATGTGATTATTTACCTGTGGTGATTTCAATAATGAGTAGCGTGATGACAGCCAGCCAGTTGAACATGTCGTGGACAGTAGCTCCAGCAAAGGCTCGCCTGAACTCGTTACGGTCGCCAACCTGAAGATGAATAAGTTGAAGAATGAAAGTAATATTCACACATTGTAAACATTTGTCTCTTGTTTATTTACTTATCTTACAATGTTGTAAACACAGAAAAAGACTGCTTTCATAGGTAGTAAATAATCATATTGTAATAACTACCGGTAATAACTATGTTGGTTTTTATTTGAGTTTCTTTAAATACTCACCCACTCAATTAAATATTTACTTACTTCTTTCATTTCATTCTAATTATCCATTTTCACTAATCTGTATTCTTTTCGTTTGTTCTTTTCTTAAATATTATCAGTGATTTGTGTTCTTTCTCACTACACTCAAAACCCTTAATGTAATATTGAAGTCTCATTATTCCACCATCTTCATCTGTTACTTGACATTCTCAGTATTTCATATAGAATCTTTCCTTTCAGTCAACTCCTCATTTCTTCGTCTCTTTACTTTAATTTTTTTTACACACACACACACACACCACGGCAGTATATATGATGCGACACAACAACGAAAGCATAAGGGCGATCACTATCACCGACCTGTGTGAGGGAGACGATGGTGTTGGTGACGGAAGTGCCAATGTTAGAACCCATTATCATCGGGATAGCCGTGTGCACCTCCAGAACTGTAAATAAGGAGGTGTATTACCACTCAAGCATCATTATGGTGTTATTGTCCAGATAATGGAGAAAATGATGTAAAGAAAAAAACAAAGAAGTTTTCCACATGAACTGGGAACTGTAAAGAGAGAAACGAAACTTAATTTCTGCGGAGATCTTTAAAATCAAAGGTGATAAGAGATCTATGCGGATGAATGAGAGAGAGAGAGAGAGAGAGAGAGAGAGAGAGAGAGAGGGCAAAGGTACTTACTCTGAGCGGAGACCATAGAGACGATGATGGAGGTGGAGGTGGAGGACGACTGTACGAGGACGGTCACCAGGATGCCGATCATGAGGCCCACGATGGGGTTCTTGACATACTCGTTGTTCAACACATCACCTGTAACAATAAGAGAGCTCCGTCAATTACGCTCATAACACTACGACGCTGCATAACATTACTTCAAGTTACCTACAGCAGTGTATCGGTCATCCAGGACCTCATTTATGCTACAGTAGCTTGGGTACGTACTTCTCCACTCGACGGGAACTTTACAAAGGTCAAGGTGTAGATCTGTTCACCGCAGACAAAAACTGACAACTTTTAGCACAAATGATATGGTTCCTCCCCGCACCGCGTCCCACGCTTCACCTTAACCCACTTCTTGTTCTTTCTGTCCGTAGAAAGCCTTTAAAAAAATCGGTTTCTTTGTTCCCGAAGAGGAAACTGAAGGGAAGAGGAAGGGGGCTAGGAGGGAAACTGTTCCTTGGGAGCCGCTGCACTAGGGTGAGTGTCGTCAGCTGGGATGGTCCACTTGAGCAACATCCTTTAGACTGAGCAAGTTTGCTCAGGTGACTCATGATTATGCTAAGTATTTACTCTCACATCTTTAATTCCAGTTAGAGTAAAAAAAAAACAAAAAAAAACAAACAACGCTGTCTGATAAATTTAAGTTGCATTAAAATGTCTAGAAAAAAAAGCAGAAGTGATTGTTATAATTGGTGTTCAATCATTGGTCATTATTAAAGCGCCTTATGCCCGGGAAAAGTCCCGCGAAAGTAGCCAAAACCAGTTCACTGTAAAGTTTCAGGTATCGTTTACACACAGCTGTTGTTGTGTTTCGAGCTTCAGGAGTCTTGGCCTGGACTTATTTACCACCATTACATCAGCTCTGTACTCTTAAACCAGTTAAATAATCCTTTATGGTCTTGTAATATTTTTATTATAAAAGACACTTTAACACGTGGAATATTATTATTTCGTTTTATATTATTTTTGATACAGGTTCTATATGTTACGAGCCGTGGAACACTATTGAAGCTGAAGCGTTTAAATGCTAGGGTATGAAGACAGCCCCCACCCCTCTACACACTGCCCTGGCAGGAGGGTTTTGACGGGTGCATACTGCTACTTACGACGGAGCTGCGGCTGATTATATGTTCCTGTTTAAAGAGAAGATTCTGAAATATTAAAAAAAAAATGTTCGGTAATTATTCAAGACAAGGTCCAGGACTGTTTCAAGACAAGACTCTAGACCGCTACAAGATAATATTCAAGACTCTTTCAGGACAAGATCCTGGACTCAGCAGGACAAAGAAAACTAAACACAGTGACTGGTCATCCGGGGCGGTCACGCGCCACACCCATTTGGTCCATATTGTTTAGAATCCCGTGATGATGATTCTGGTCATCAAGTACACACACACACACACACACACACACACATATATATATATATATATATATATATATATATATATATATATATATATATATATATATATATATATATATATATATATATATATATATTTCATTAGCCCAATAGCACGCGGACTTCTACATACAATCAACACCTCAACCCGCCAGGATTCGAACCCACGGCCCACTAGCCCACTAGCCCATATATATATATATATATATATATATATATATACGCTACCAAAAAGCAGCTAAATATAAAAATCCTTTCATTTACGTGTGGAAGACTGAACGAGGTCCTCAGCAGACACAACAGCACCACCACCAGTTTTGTATATCCCAACAGAGAAAGGAGACACATGGGTTGAGATCCTCCCCTAAGGGTGGATCATGTGAATCTTGGAGCTCTTAAATGGATCATAACGCCTCGAAACTGGATCAAATGTTCTCTGAAAGTGGATTATAGGGCCCCAAAAGTGGATCAACTATATTCTGAAAGTGGACTACGAAGCCCCAGAAATGGGGCACTGTACTCTAAAAGTGGTTTATGGGGTCCCTCGATATTATGAATCAACTATACTCTGAAAGGGGATAACAAGAGATCCCGAAAATGTGAAACACGGAACCCATAACTGAATCAACTGTATTGTAGTCTAACTCAAATGGTCACGGAGCCCCAAAAATGTGGACCACAAGGACAGCTCGGGACAACACCGCCGCGAGTCTCTCAGATAAGTTAGGATACAGATGAGTGATCAGTCCAGTTTTTTTTGGCCTCCGTCAGGTTAAAGCAGACACGGCCGATGACGACTGGCGAGGACACGGACGCAGGAGGATGGAATAGTGGTTAGATGGAGAGGGTGGGAGAGGAGGAGGGGTAGTGTAGGTAAACGGGGAGGGGGAGGTAGTAGGGGAGTGTGGGTAGACGGGGAGGGGGTGGAAATGGGGGAATGTGGGTAGACGGGGAGGGTTGGAAGTGGGGGAATGTGGGTAGACAGGGAGGGTTGGAAGTGGGGGAATGTGGGTAGGCGGAGACGGGGAGGGAGCGGGGCGAAGTTGAGCCAGAACACACGAACACTTGTAATGTCAGGGCGTAAAAACCCCGATGGGAATTCACGGGAGAAGACCGAACTATAAACCAAGCAAAAAAAAAAATGTGACTGAGATCAGGTGAACCATGTTAAATAACTCTTGAAATGGTCACGCCAGACATGGATAAGAAAGGTGATTAAAGACTGACATGACACCCGAATAAGGCTGCATAAATATGATTGAATGAAACTCGATATGCTGTTCATGTCGATATAAAGTCGGATAAATATGGAGAATAAGACGGGATAGAGAAGTTGATGAGTGAAAACAAGGAAGATGGTCCCTGGTGATGGCAGGGGTGTACAAGTGTCAGAAGTTTCAAGCCAAGAAAAACTGACCAGTGTTCAATGACAATACCCTCACTCTCCTTACGTCACAACATCTTACTTGTGATGTCGCTGTTGTGTAATTATCCTCTGGGACTGAAAAAGGGTATAGGTAAAGGCCAGAGCCCCTGGAACTTCCGGTCGAGAAAGGGTACATATAAAGGCTTTCCCTGAAAGATTTACTAACGTAGGTGAGCAAAAAGCGTCACTGTTCACCCAAGTAACGCTTGTTGGAGACTGGTGTAGGCGCCCTTGAGCATTCCTTCGTGCAGTTTTGTCTATTTTCCAACGTTTTTTTTTTTTGCGGGACGAGCGGATTCCCTCCTCTGGCCTTCACCTTTTTTTGTCCTCCCTTGGTTGATGCACTGCTGCGGTAGTGCCATCCTCCTGGCAACACTTTACACACACCGATGTCTTCTAGAGTTATACACCGGAGGCATAATATTTGTGTTTATCTTACGGACAACACCTCATTACAATTTAGCCACGCATCCTCGGTGTTTAATGAATCGTACAACAACAACATTCCCCGTTCATAATACTGATGGATAATTAAGGCTGCCTGTAAGGCGTGGGATTGATCACCGGTACAAGTGTTCCTTAGTTGACAATATTAAAACAGTGGAGGCGCAGGGGGCGTGTGGCCAGGTAGTTAAGGAGAGGGTCGTGGTCATGGGGAATATGTCTGGGTACTCTTACTGGACCGTGGGAGTGTGTTGTACTGACGGTCACTCTAACCCACCACACCAACCTCCTGATGAGTAAGACCGACTGACATTTCCTCCATTCTCTTTCCGATTACTGAATAATCAACCTCATAAGTTTTGTCTTGTATTTATGTATTGGTGCGCGGGTAGGTGAATTTATATCTGTGTATACTAAAACATATATGTGTGTAAGTATCATGCGGTGTGGCGTAGCGTGTGTGTATGACCTTGGTACAACATAGACAGTTACCCCTTCAAGCCTCTACCCTGGTCACGACTTCGCTCCATTCATTCCTCAATTACTGTTATCTCTTTACTGTACAACGTGCACACCACTATAACAAAAACAAAACATCTTTAATAAAAATCACAATTTACACGGCATAATAAGTGTGGTCTTGAAAGTTCCGTAATACCTCAGTCTTACCATTGTCACTCGGGCAAGGAAATGCCAGAGAATTTTCCTAAAAATGATACCTTATTATCATTGTATTTATTAATAGGATAATACTCATAAAAATGACATTAAAATTCCTGCAGATGAACCTCTTATAAACTCTTGGTAATGAAAACCAGAGTGTTGTAAATGAGATGAATAAACACAGCAGCATTCTGAAGACTAAGTGAGGTCCGTTCCCAAGGATATAGCTGACCTATGACCTGTATCGGTTCCTGTTACCCCTTCCCCCCTTGGTCCATCTCCCTCTCCCCTTTCCTGTATATCCTGAAATGCTCTTCATCAAGTAATCCTGGTGGCCGGGCAGGCGAAGATACTACCCAACCCGGAACACTGTCCCCGGGGTATGTTCACCTCCCTCCCACAACCAACCTCCACCTTTAACCCTACACTCGTTTTTTCATCAACATTTATCTTATCTTCATTATTACTACTGACATTTTTCCGGGTAAATATTATCCCAAGTTAAATATCACGAGGCAGTTACCAGGTAAAAGATACACGGGAGGACTTCACCATTTGCAATCCAGCCTGAGATACTATGCGTCATACACGAGTCCCGTCGCTCCCTCACTCCTCGCAGCTCAACCCAGACAAAAACAGCTAATCGTCATAAACAGCTGATCGAAGACCACGTGAGCGCCAGAGTAAACAAATCCTTCTGCAGAAGCAACATCACACTTCCTGGAAGGGAGCTCAGTGGCTCATCTCTTATATAAAGATCTCCAAGGACACCGCTGACCCCTGACATCTACGGTCTTCCGCCTAGATCCCTGTCCACTTCTCTGACGTCAATCTGGGGAAGGTGGGGGTGGAGGGTTAAGACTGATAGCGTTGATAGTGCAGGTACTGAGGGTACATGCATTGGAGGTGCAGATATTGACTGTAATATGATGCTAATGGTAGATATTTATGGTGATATTATTGCATAGGACCAGGGAACATTACCGACCATGCCACAAGAGCACTAAAAGCAGTTCTAGACTATGTGATATTTCACACAAAGCCTGTCCATCGAGCTGATGGCGCCGTGAACCTCTCATTGGGAATTGCCCGTGCTACTTATGTGGATGTCAGTAGCATTTTACCGAATCCAGCTGGTATGAAACACAAGGT